TGCCAGTCAGTGAAGAAGAGAAAACCAAGATTGTACCAGCCACAATTGCTACCAACAAGACTCGATAAGGAGTATGGTGAATTAATGCTAAGACACGTGGGATAAGAGAAAGAAAGGTACAGATAAAAATTGGACCTGTTCTGGCTAAGTGCATTCACAGTCAGAGCTAATAGATGAGGTACCAGAAGATAGGGAGTTTGGTACTGAGAATAATGGCAAAGACATCAATATTTGACATGCTAAACTGGGAACAAATCCATCAAAACTTTTGAGAATGGAGTGACTACTCTATAAGAAGAATTCTGTTCGGTCAACAGAGTCAAATTGCTACCAAGTTCAAAGCTCCACGGAAATGGCAGGCTCTCAAATGAACCTAGTATGAGTGGGCCTATAGTAAAAACTGCAACATGATGAAGCAAAGGTCCCTGGAGTTAGTACCACCCTGATAAGTAGTATGGGAAACAACTACAAAATTTCCAAAGTAGATCATAACCAAATGATCTACAAGATAAGGTAGAAAATAAGAACACGCCCACTGGACAACCATGAGTTCCAGAATATTGATGTGGAAATCCAAACCCTGAAAGCTGTGGAGTAGTCCAGGGACACAACCCAACACGTAAGAAATGCACCAGTGAAGAGATGGAAATCCAGACAGTGAGTAGAAGTATTGGCACCCTCCAGCCATCAAGACAGATCTTCATGAAGATAAGACAACAACATCACAAGAGAGCACAGAGGATTTCAACGGATTTTTCCGTTGGTCATTCAAAGTCCACTGAAGATGCCTCATCTAGGACCAGCCTAGAGGGACAAGATGTTCCAGAAATGCGAGAGTCCTCAATAGAGATAGAACCTTTCCTGCAGGAAGTGTAGAAGAAGCAAGAATTGAGGTGACTAGATGTTCTGTGTCCCACAGACAAATGAGAGAAGGCTGAGCTTAACTGAATCAAAAACTGAAAATAACTCCAAAGTATTACATCGTAGTCAGGAACAAGTTGACCAGCCGAGTTGGAGGAGAAGTGAAGTGACTGATTGAGGCTTCTCAGGAAGAGGTAAACAAGAGCCAGTCATCTATGTAATAATGGCAACAATGTCCAAGACTGTGGATGCAGTGAGAAAATGCCTCCATGACTTGGTTGAAGACATAATGAGCTGAAGTGATCCCAAATAGGAGAGCTGAAAACTGGTATAAGTGATCCTGGTGAAAGAAATGTGATGAGAACCAGCAATCAGAATATGGAGAAAGGTGTCCAAAACGTCGACCTTGGTCATCCATAGTCTGGAGGACCAATGGAAAGGAAGAAACCCCTCCATCTTAAACTAAGGGACTACCAGACAGTGGTTGGGTAGGGAAAGGTCAAGGATGGATTCTAGTCTCTGGTATTTTTGGGGACAAGAAAAAGAGTAGAATAAAAGCCTGAAGAAGGACAAACAACCCCCCTGATGGATCTCCTGTCCAACATATTTGATCTGCAGCCTCGAGACGCTGAGAATCACAAGAAGGAAAAGGGAAGAAAGGACAAAGGAAAAAATAAGTAAAGAGAAAGCCATGTGTGAGAACTTACTTGAAAAACCCACCAGTCTGCTGCAAAAGGTTTGTGAACAGAAATAGGCATGCCCCTACAGGGACTGAGCAATTGGGTACACAAAGAGAGGGAGTCACTGACAGAATGTATGATGGTGGCCAACCAGACAGGAGGGAGTATGGGAGAAAAGGTAGAGGGACAAGAAATTTGAAAAATAGAAAGGTGGAGGGTTCATGGTGTCGAAGAACATGTAGGGACCCACGAGGCCGTGACAGACGAGAAACCAAGTAGAAAAGGAAGGACTGGTATCAGGTAGTCTTGGCCAAAGTCTTCAAGGCACAAGGAACAAAGCTTCAGGGTGAAGAAAAGGAGCCAAATGGAGGTCATGGAAAGATGAATGGTAGTGAGAAGAATGCACGTCCCAACAACTGAGGAGCTAAATAAGCAAGGGAAAAAACAAGAAACAAAACCCTGACGAAAATAATGAAAAACGACTGACCATGATTTTTATAAAAACTAATGGGATCGTGGTGTATGATTTAAATAGAAGTTGAACAGCAGTCACATCATGAAGTAGATGGAAAAGACGAGAAAATTGAACAGTAGAAAGTGTTACCGAAGACAGTGGGTTAGTCAACCAAGTAGGTAGGGTGGACTCCACAAATGAAAGACAGTGGGTTAATCAACCAAGCAGGAAGGGCGGACTCCACGAATGAAAGACAGTGGGTTAATCAACCAAGTAGGAAGG